AAAAAAAAACAGCAAATGAATTCATTCACGAGCAAATCAACGACTTTCACGTTGTAATCATATAAGTAATTGTAGCAACGATGTGTATATGCGAGAAATGAGAGATATATCAGGTACATCAAGACACTCCTACACGACATGCAAACACACTGTTTTATTGCAATATAAATGTGTATATAGGAAATAACATGTTATCATAGATTATATGAATGATTATGATTAACGACAAAGACCGACTGGAACGGGCGGGTACGCATTTCCGCACTTGGTGATACTTCATCTTTGATCAATACTTGATGATTATTTTTAATTGTAATTTTGAACTATGAAATTCGTGGTATAATATCCTGCGAATATTTGCGAAATGTGTGCTCGCGTTCTGTATTTTCTTCTTTACCTCAAATATCGTATCCCGACGATCCTCTCTGAAATTTGTTTATGTACTGCTCAAAAATGTAGCTCTGTTAATTTTGTTAATATCCCTGTTTCGTTAATACTATTATTTGTTTGTATATTAACATGCTCTCCGTTTGCTGATTTTTTTTTTGGAATTACCATATTTTGCCTTTGACCTACTGCTTCACAACCAATTTATTATTATATTAAAACTGCGAAATGTTTTTTATTTTTATCAAGTCCACGGGACAACAGGCGGTGTGTGAACATTTTTCTGTATTAAATCCAGCATGCCTTTTGTGTTACAATAATTTTAATTTAATTAACTTCGCTTGAAACTAATCATAACTTTTCACATGCTATAATATATTTAATCACGAGATCGATTGCATTGAATTACTATTCTGCAGAGTTGGAAAGTGAGTAAGATAAAATACATTTATTGATGTTTACTTTTAGTTAATATTGTAGATGTATAATTTCTTTTTAGCTAAATAATACCTAAAGTCACTTGATTTTTATTCATAGAAATCTTTCGTTCAGAATTGAGTAGAAGTATAATTTTTTTATCATTTAATTTTGATGTATCGATGATTCTTACGTTATTCGTTTCTTTTTTTGTTACATTTCGTAGTTGAATGTCCAATTCTGCATTCAGTGATGCTCTTGCAATAATTTTTTTTTTTCATACGTATGCTTCAATTACTCAGCTAATCCTTATTGTAGAAAATACATAAATTGGCCACCAGTAATTAAGCCAATTCATCTAGATTCGTCGCAAATAAATTTCTTTAAAACGTCCATCTGTTTACAGACGTGTCGTCCCAAATGTTCCGCCACGAATACCAGACAGACCAGCATCCGGACGAATGAATTGAGCGTATTATCGTTGATCATTCGACTAGAGCCATTTATCTTTAAAAGGTGCCGTGGAGTTTAGAAAAAAAAAAAAAAAATAAAATAAAATAGGATCCAAATGACCAGCAACGAAGATACAATGTCTGTCAGCTACCAAACCGAGACGGTGATGTAAAGGCTGTGGCCGCCGCACGGACTAATTAAATACGAGAGGAACAATCGTATCGATAACAATCACAGAACCAAATGTGCTTATTTTTCCGTTTGGTGTAATAATATCTGTCGTTGTTGCTACAATTTTTTTTTTCTCGACGACTCGTCAACTCAACAGTAAGAAGGGTGAAATAATCCTTTCGTCGCGTATGGTTTCATTGCATACTTACCAATTATTCACAGATTTAGGCTATACGCTTTTGAGAGAAGCGTTAAGGACTCATCTCTTGTGTGCTACACGAAAACGTAGTGACTTTTATTTCGAGTAAGAAGTTGAAAATACTTTATTGATCGTAAAGGTGACAATGTGGTACGTGAAAATTAATTTACATGATCAAATATATTGATTTATTTTCAGAGATATTGTCTTTTTTACGATTAAGCTGATATTCTTAATTTCTAATGATATTATGATTGTTGTGTAAATTGTATGCAAAAAAAAGGCGATTTTTGTTATAAAACATTTCAACGAATAAAAACAGTCAATGCAGTATAATTTGTGGTATTGCAGTGAAAAAAATTGTATAAATCCATATAATTTCATGAACTATTTTGTAAAAAATTGATTTTTGATCAATGTCCTGTTACGTACGAGTAAAAAAATAAGTTATACTTGATAGTAAAATGAGAAAAATACATGAAATGGCGAACAGTGTGGTTGTTTAAAATTAAATTATTTACTGAAAATTTGTTCGTCTTTGATTATTTGTGGTGCAATCATTTTCACTTGATGGAAAAAATATTTGCATTATACGTGTATACTACGAGTCCAGTGTCACATTCCTATCGTAAAAGAATTTTGCATGTAGTTGTTGATATTGTATGTGTCTGACTATCAATGTATATAATTGTTATTAAACTATTTTTGTGTAATGTTAACAAATACAAACTGGGACTTTTGACAGCGACAGTATTATAGGTAAGACAGTTGTAACTGGACCAAGTAAAAAAATGTTGCTCACGAAATACAAATAAAAATTATTAAATGATTTTTTCCCACGGCTACATTGGTTCGTTGCCATTCACGGTTTGATTTAATTGCAATATTAAAAAAAAAAAAAATCACACTTTAACGATTCGCGCAGCCATACATGTAAATAATTTATAGTTATTTTTTATCACTATTGTACCATATTTTTACTCAGTTTTTACTCATTTTTACTCTACTATTATTATTAATATTACTATTATTATACTTGATATTGTTACTACATGACAATCCACTTTGTAATAATAAAATAAATCACCAACAAAGCAAATGATCAAATATTTGATCAACAGCACAAGTGGTAGTATTTTAGATCTTGAAGAAAAAATATCTCTTGTTTGAGATTCAATCTCTACCATTGTCTAATAACACCCAATCGAATGTAAATTGAATATTTCTGTTGAAAACGTCACATTTAAATCACTTCTTTTTTTTATTAACCATCTCATTCACGAAATCTTCGATAAATGGAATATTCAATCTACTGATAATAAAACACCTACTAAATGTGAAGTTTGGCCCCAAACAAACTATCTATGTATAGATACAAAAAATCGATCGAGCTAGCGTGCAAAGTCGAAATTTATTATTATTTTTTTTTTTTTGTTCTCTTTAACGCTGTTCATGCTGCACGTGTGATATTTTTACACTGTTAATAGTGTGTAAGAAAAAAAACGCACGTTTCTCTCCGTTTGTGTTTTCATTTTCTTTTATTTCACAAGAGAAAGATGAATAACTTAAGCTTGTAGGAGTGTATGCAAGTTTCTTGTGCCAAAAGAAAAGGAATTCGAGCGAAAGTGGAAGTTTTGGCCAGCAAACTCAATGAGATGGCATTAATTTTCGCTGCTGATGAAACGCAATGGCCGAGAAAACTCTAAATTTTGTACATATATCAATATAAGTATTATGAATAATGGTACGCGTGCTGTATAGAAACAAATGGACAAGTTTCCCATGTTTTCCGATCCACTATCTCTCTACTTGTGCGCCCTCATCATCCCCCTGATTTTTTTTGTCTCTTTTGTAAGTACAACGTTCGTTTGCCAGTCTCAATGTTACGCTAGACGATTCCGACTGCGAAATGACTTGTGTATTTTACCTATTATGGAGCTGCGATGAGCTCAATAAAGCTTTATTTAATAAAAACTTTGTTCTTATGCGGTTTTACCCCTTGTCCTTCCATCCCCAAACGATGGTGTTTAACACATGTGTGTGTAACAACAATTATATTAACCTCGAATGACGTTTGTGCCGAATCAAAATTCAATTAACATGACACCGTAGCCACTACATGTTTTTTCTTTGAACTAAAAAAAAATCACCGTCAAAAATTAATAATACTTGCAACAAAAGAGCATGTGATGAAAACAAGGAAATTTTTTACTCTGCAATGTCAACCTCGCAAAATCGTCAAGATAACCAGGCGTTTACCAAAGTCATCGATCAAGTCGAAGCCCTTGCGAAAAAAGTTCAGCAACTGCAAAAGGAGATCGAATCTTTGAAATCGAAAAATCACAGCGATAAATACATTAGAGAACCGGATGGTGATTCGAAATCGGGTACTTTCAAGAAACTCAAGTTGTTCCACAAAAATGATGAAACGAGCGAAAAAGTAACGTCGACGATCGACAAGCCCAAAGTGAAAAGTAACTATAAGAGCAATCTGCGACCAGAATCGGCTCCTAAACGCGATGCGGTAGATCGCGACTCGAAAACCGATCTAAGTAATAAAAAGGAGCGACGCAAGCACCGGCGGTCCGATCATTCTCAAGTGAAAACCGGTACTAATGACGCGTTCATCGATAAACAGGTATAACAAGAGATATTACCTTATACGTAACTCGACAAACGCCATGACGATAATGTTTTTACTTTAGAAAAAAATCGAAAAACCCTCGCGTCACCCGGAAATTCGCGCGAATGGGATTGTTGATTCGCTCGAATTGATTTGCCGTGTGAAAACTCGCGCCGTGCAGACTGACGATAGGTTTAACGCGAAACACCGGTGTACGCGCAGCGCAAACGAGATCGAATCGGTTGATGTCGACGGCAAAGTGGCCGATGCGAAACCATCGAAAAGCAAATGTGCCAAAAATCTCACAGATGGCAATGATGGAAAATTAACCAAGTCGAAAAGCAAGTGCGCCAAAAACTGTCCTTACCTGAGAAAAGACAATTGCAATGCGCTCAATGATACGAGGAGAACGACGACGATGAAATGTTTGGATCGCAAGGATGGGAAAATCGACAGGAGGAACGACAAAACTTGCAAAGATAAACAATGTATGGTAAATTTGAATACGATGGATGAATGCGGGGAGGTTTCGAGTAAATGCCAAAAACGCGGAGGTTTTCCGTCGACCAGTGGAACCTTTGAAAATGTTGATTGCAAGAAAAATTCAAAGAATGACAAAATGAAAATTGAGAAAAAGTGCCAGAATTGTTGCAAAAAAATCGGATCCAAAAGTATTTTCAAAATTAAAAAAGCAATCGTCACCAAAGAGCCTCCGATGATTTTTGTGTTACGTAAAAAAGAAAATTGTTGAGTAATCATTTTAACTTGATGGAAAAAATATTTGCATTATACGTGTATACTACGAGTCCAGTGTCACATTCCTATCGTAAAAGAATTTTGCATGTAGTTGTTGATATTGTATGTGTCTGACTATCAATGTATATAATTGTTATTAAACTATTTTTGTGTAATGTTAACAAATACAAACTGGGACTTTTGACAGCGACAGTATTATAGGTAAGACAGTTGTAACTGGACCAAGTAAAAAAATGTTGCTCACGAAATACAAATAAAAATTATTAAATGATTTTTTCCCACGGCTACATTGGTTCGTTGCCATTCACGGTTTGATTTAATTGCANTTTCTATTAAATAATGAAGCACTTGAGTATATTTTAAAGCTGTAAAGTACGAAAGTATAATTTTGGTACAGTTCTTTTGTTATAAAAGTAACGCAAGTCTTCTGAATTTCGTAAAGATTTAAAGATTTTGCTACACGTAAACCAGCAAGTGATATAAGGACACTTGGAAAGTACGACACAGGTTTATATTACATTACACTATAATTTTCTTTGCCAAAAAATTTCGATAAAATTTTCAGACAAATTAATTTGTAAAAATTATTAAAAATTTTTAAAAAACGTAAATTATTAATAGATCCAGGAAAAACATTTGTAAATACTACAGCTCTGAGTTGTTGTCACTTAATCGTGGCACATTATTAATGTGGTTATAAATAATAAATGAAACAACAAGTGTATGTAGTAACATTCTATAAATATTATAATGAGCCATACTTCGTTTATTTATCTACAAGTGTATTACTCGTAACATTCGTCAGTTTATAAAAATTTGTAGTAGTTTTGTCTTACTCATCACTACCTTTTAAAATTAATATAACGTTGAAAAAAGTATACCCGACCTTGGATCGACTACAATGTTTAACCATTTGTTAAAGAATTAACGTAGTATGTATGAAATGCACATTTATCTGTCCCTAATATCACATTTAAGTAAAGGTCTTATGTTTCTACTCTTCTTCTTCTTTTTTTTTTTAACCCTTTAAAAAGTAGTGTTTTAATGATAGTTTCAAAGCATTTTTTCAGAGCTTGAAAAGTATTTATACCTTAACAGTAATAAGCACAACCAATACCACCTTCTCTTAAGGCATATCAATCCTATAAACTAGTGCAGATTTGCGTATCTTTACTATCAAACAATACTTCATTTTTTACACGGGATGAATTATTTATATTCGCAAAGCAGTAAAACTTGAAAACCATTTTTTAAATTTCAATGTTGATGCTTATTTTATAAAATATATTCTATCGGCATGTATCAATAAAATTATTTTGTCTCACTTGCAAAATATACAACTAATCATTTAATTTATTTTTAAAAAAAACCTTGGTAAAATTTTAAAAAGACATCACTTACACACGTACTCTGTATTTTTCTTTTTTTCCCAATCATTAAACCAACATCGTTTCTTCCAACTGTAACAACCATCACTCAGTGACATTCAAAACAGTTAATCATCTTCTTGTCATCCCGAAAAAAAAAAATTATTTTTGCAAAATTGTGGTGCTTCAACCTCGTCGTACTCAAGTGATGTTCGATCGGGAAAAAAACCTATACTTAAAATTCATCCAAACACAGACACGCGCATACTACATGCACACAGTAACAAAATCTCACCGATCGCTCGCACGTCACACGAGTCATGCGTTACAACTGTTACCAGGCACCACTGAGCTTATTGGCCAAACATTGACTCCTATGTATCTTTTAATAACAGAAAGAGAGAGAGACCAGCCGTTGTCTCGATGATGTGCACTTGCGAGGGGAAAAGTCAATCGAGCTTGAGACTGTCCATGTGCCGAGACAACGCTTCCTGGGTCGACTCCTGGTACACCTTGTTCATGACCGCGTACGTCTCCTCGACCAATCTCGGCAAATCGGCCTTTGTCAGGCCTTCGGTCGGTATTGCCGGGAGTATCGTGATGAAGCTCGTGCCTGCGCAATCAATTCAAAGTTACGCCGCGCTTTTGAGCGGGAAAGTGACGGATAAGAGATAACGAAGAGCCCGTATAAACATATGGACTCGTGGGGAAATACGTTAATCGGACACATGTAGCTGTGGGTGGGCTGTAATGGCCCGAAAACTCACCTGAGTCGAACTTTTTCGACTTGGCGTTGATGAAGTAGTACCTCGAAACAACGACCGGCTGGATGGGCGTCTGCGAGTCGATGGCCACGTGAAAGCCACCCTTTTTAAAAGGCAGCAGAGCCGAGCCGCCGTGCCTTTTGCCCTCCGGGTAGAGCAACACTTTCGCCTGTAGGCACACGATTTAATTGTGGAAAGGAGCCGAAAGAGATATTTTGGAAAATTTTCACCACAGACCGATCGTTGGATGGACTGACCTTTCGCGCGCGAATAATGTCCGCCGTTGAGTTGACCGTGTTCTGAGCCTCTTCCTTTTTGACGCGATCGATGAATATCGTGCCCCAGAGCCAGCTCGCCAGGCCGAAGGTGCCGAAGTAGAGCACCTGCTTTTTCGATATCACGGTGCAATTCTCGAGAACCGGCCACAATTCTGCCAACACTGAATCACCGGGTACATAGGCTCGTGTTATATTTTATTGCATCGATAGAAAATTGGGGGTGAAAAAAGGGGCAAGAAACCCGCATGTGCCACTAAATTATCTCTAAAGTTTTTTTTTTCTCATAGGTTTACAAATTTTTTTATCATCTTAAAAGCATAAGTATTCTTTTTGTCAAATTTGGTACAGCTTGCAAAAAAACATTACTTATATCCACTTTGAAATATAATTACTATATGTTTAATCAAAGATGCACAAAAAGTCGTAATTTTTTTTTGATCAAACAATAAAAGGGTACGAACTCACCACAGAGGTCAAGATTGCTCTGATGATTGATCATGACGACGGCACCGCTGTTCTGCACAATGTTTTCCTTGCCACGTATTTGGTAATTGATGCCGATCAATTTCGCGACGAATCTAGCCCCCCAAGCGGGTATCCTGTGAGATACGAAAAAAAAAAATCTGTCACATACCTATACATGTATGTAAATGCGAGTAAATGTCATATCATATTGAAAACGTACAGTGCGTTACGCCAGTCTCGTATCCTGAAGAACATCAGTGGAATCGGCCACGTTGCCCATATAGCGCTCATAACGACAAAGACGAAGTGCTTCGTGTAATACCTCGCGACTTCGCTCACCGCGCAGATCATCATTGCGAGCAGGAACAAGGCTACGCCCAGGCTATTGCACGATATCCCGAGCATCCTGAAAACACCGAATTCATCATCATTTTTTGCTTATACGGAGAGAGAAAAATCGTGACTTTTACGAGACTATACGCCACGGGACGAGCAATGAATACACCAAACTATTCAGACAATTTATAAATAAAAACTTCAACTACTCAACTATACGTAAGGCATTGTTAGGCGTTATCAGTGTCTGATGCCGCGATACGCGAATCGCTGGTCCCACCTATATGCATAAAAAGTGTGTACATACGAGAGGTGTGGCAAAAAGACGTAGCAATACAGTTGATTGCACAGTAAACTCGTTCACGAAGACAGTAATGGGCACTCTCTTTTTGCCTAAGATTAAACGTTTTCACGGTTCATAATCATCAAATCATAATGCAAACATAGTAGTAGTTTAACACAAAAGTGCATTGGCTATTTTTGAAGTAAACTTGTATTTTTCAAGCATATTTATTGCGTAAAGCCAATTTTCTGCAAGTAAGTAATGTCTATCCTGCAGTTAAACTGGAGTAACCCACCATTTCCCTAATAATTATACTCCAAACGACTTGTATTCAGTCTTTGGTAAAATAATTTAAAATGCTTACTGATTTCCTTTCCTACTGTTGTGTTGTGAGACCAAAGACTTCCCTACAATAGTAATAACTTTCGAGCGAAATGATTAGCTCATAATGTATGTGACAATTATTGAGCTTGCAAAGTTTCTCTGCCAAATCTTTCCCACAATTGGTCACTATTATCCACTTAACCAATTGATTCGGCGAGAAACGTAACTCGAAAAATTGTATCTCACAGTAAGAGTGACTATTTACACATGCACATCAAAAGAAAGTGGCAATGCTCAATGCGACACTACTCACATACATCTGCTTCTTTCCAGTTACGGTTTAACAGAATATCCCAACAAAGTAATATTAGATCGGCTCCAATGACATATCAAAAGGAACTTAACCAAGGAATTTCAATCGATCCAGAAATCAAATGGAATAAAATACGTGGAGAAAATTGCGCGTTATGACATAGCGACTTTTAGATTGTCTCCATAAGTAGGCGCTCCACTAACACAATAAAAGTCGCTATGTCAGCATCACCATTGGCTCACCAAACAAATGGCCAAACTATTAACCTTGACTGCATTTGCAAGAAATTGAAATGCACTTGATGGTCACTAGGAGAGAACTATACTGCCATTTGACCAATTTATTTTGTTTACGTAAGGTAGACCGGTAATTTGTGACGGATATTTTCTGCTCTCGAACAAAAAAATTGAAATGGGGAAAAAAAAAACTTCATTTGAAATTTTCATTTTTTCAATTAAAATGCATCATTAAACAAAAAAAAAACAAAAATAAAAAAAATAAAAAAACATACTCTTAATAATAAAGATAAATTAAGTGCGAAAACATTATTTTAAGCAATTACAAGATTCAACAAATTTAATGCTCGTGCTCAATTACTATTTAATTCCTAATAGTCAATTAAAATACGTGTTGCGTGTTAAAACGTGGATCTTTCTTATATGTACATAATGTATACACAAGAAAGTATATTGTGTAAAAATAAATGTATTTGTGCCATCGGGATAATCTATCGCACTTTTTCCGTATTTACGTATTGAATTTACATAATGTAAATTCTATACACGATTATTCAGGATTGAAAAAAAAAAAAAAAATCTCGACGTTGGTACGGTCGGTCGTTGAAGGATTTTTAAGCGCTGCATCACTATAGGTAAGCAATGATGTAACAATTGATCGATTCAACTTAAGAACTAGTTTTTCCTTAAAATATTTATAAAAATATATACTCTCAACTGTTATTTAAATAAATCAATATCTTTGTTTTCTGTTTTCGTTGAATTATCATAAAAAAACTATTGAAGAATACACTTACTTACAAAAAACTATAACAAGTTATTTATGTACACACCAATGTCTCAAAATTACTACTTTTTATCAAGGAAATGAACGGGTAACCTTCCTCCATGATTTATTTTTATGTAAAAAAAAATCTGTACAATAAAATTATAAACCATTTCTTACTTGGTCACACTTAGCACTTTTAAGATTACTATTAAATTATGTTAATAGCAGAAGAACGTGTGATCTACATTAAGCACAGAAATACCGTGACAGGATAATTTTCAGTGGTATATTCGTTGTTGTACATATATTATTTTTAAAAAACACCCAACGTGCTTTTTGTCATTTTTATTTTTTATTTTTAAGTTGCCAAGCTTTTATCTTAGTTGTGATTGCACATACAGCCAGACAAGCCATGTAAATCCATTCAATTTAACAAGTATACAAAGCCTTAATTCCTCTTCCTAATACACAGTTTCATAGTAGTTCATTTTCTTTTAATTCTAAACTTTTTTTTTTTAATAAGCGTAGACGTAAGTAAATGATAGTCAATCAAGTCCTTAACTTTTTGTTTATCAACGATTCAAATGGTATTACCAGGGCAATCATTTTTTATAATTTTCTTCGTACATTTTTAAACATAATAACCATCAATTATAGTACGTACACGCAATATATATAGATGTAGAAAAAAATCACGAATCGTCGCGGTTTTTGATATAAAAAATGCATACCTAGCCGTTAAACATAAATTTGTTATAGCCTTTCCCGAGTATACATCATATATAAGCAATTTAATGATCAGACTCTACATATTATATACCGACACACCATCATAAAGCCTTTCTGCGCCAAACTTTAATAATTACTATTATCATGATTTACCCGTTCAATATTCACTACAAGAAAAACTATACCACCACCATCGTTACTACATATACACTTACTTACAGCACTTATAGCAATCATTCTATATCCCGATTCGCGCTTCCACAGACTCGAACTTTCGATTTTTTTAAGTACGAAGCTCATCGTTATAAAATGTGTCACCAATACGATATACGCGCTCTTACAACTGCTTTTCTTTGCAAAACTTGTAATACTCTTGCACCTGCAATGCAATACTACTACGTTTCAATTCTTGACCGCAGATCGCAAGAGTCCAATGTTGACCTTATGACGGTCACTGCATAACTGTCCGCTGTATATAGGTACTGGCACCAAAGAGGTGAGATGATAATAGGATAACAAAAGTTTAGTGCTGATGTATATACCATTTGTCATTGATTTCTAATCGGATTATTATTGGTTTGGTTAAAAAATAGGTACTCGTTTCGATCGATTTTTTAATTATTTTCTTACAAGGAAATTCAGCAATAGCCGAAAGTCAAAAAGTATTAGGGTGTATTTTTATCAACACGTGCTAGTGATATCGCTGTCTCTGCACACTTGGTGCGTAACATATTACTCGTGATCAGAGAGAAAGTATAAAAGTGCACATAATATTATACGCAAGACTGACAATAATCTTCCTCCATGCGCTTATAACTATCTTTCATCCTTGAAATTTAGCTAAGGGTCATAAAGTATTTTAAAGTGTGTCAGTACACTGATTGGCACTTAAGTTTATGTTTTTCTTACTAATTTTTTAATTTTATTTCTTTTTTCAAAAAGTACTGCAGTCCATAAAGAACTGAATTAACTATTTTTACATTCGAGACGCGCTATGTACAAAGAAGACTAACTAATTATGTAATCGGTATTAGCTGTACGAGGTGAATACGAAAATTGTGCAATTAGAATTTCAAATGCATCGAGTGGTTTTTTTTTTTTTTTTTTTTTTACACCTTTTCAGGGAAAAAGATTTTTGCACTTGGGGTGTAATTTTACTTGAAAATTGATTTGTTTGCCCAATTGTGTTTATTTTTATCAGCATATGGCGATACTTCAGATTTTATTTAAAAATTGATTTGTATACCCAATTGTGTTTATTTTTACCGCCTTATGTAGGATAGGATTACGAAATTTATCAGACGACGACGGCGATTACTTCGAAGAAAACGCAACGCGGACATTAAAACTACTCGTCTTTTGATTGTGGACTCAAAAATTACGAAGACTCTTACCATGGACTAATTTATTTTTACATCTAACTCGCTTTTTACGATTGACCTGGTGTGCACAGCAAGCACTGGCACGTTACAGTTTTAAGAATACGGTTGGCATAAATTCACAGAGTAAATTTTTTTTTAATCCATACTCCGAATGATTGATTTGTTTCGTGTGAAAATTATTTTATTCATTAAAATTACAAATTTTGTCGAAAACAACGCATACAAAGCCAGTCACTTTAATAATACTCCGTAACATTTTACGACTCAATGGAATAAACATTAAAAACATGCATTATTCCAATACAAGTTGAAAATTAAAAACGAACGCAAAAAGAAAGTAACGCATCACAAAGCTCCCAATAAGTCGTGATTTTTGAACCTCAAGGTACCGAATCTGTCAATTTCTTATTTTGTTCGTTCGATTATTCGAATTTTTTTTTCACACGCCAAACAAGAAAATGAGCCTATTTTGGCAAGTGACTTTCCGAAAAATCTGCAAGTCAAGTGACCGCAACAATGTAGCTGTCTTACGAAAAAAAAAATATACATATATATATATGTCCGCACCGAGAGGATAGACTTTAAATCGCGGTCAAGTGGAGAAAAAAAAAGTTTTTGAAATTCTACGCTATTTTATTGAAGAACCATACGAGTGGAAGAGAAATAAAGTTCGATGTATTATACAACACAACAATGAGACTTTGCCGATGACGTTATTGTATTTATGTTTTTCTTACATTTGTCCCGGATATTTTTTCAGTTGAAAACGTTAAAATCATCGTTTACTTTACTCGTCATAGCTATTTATACAACACAAAATACCCAAGTTGTATAAAGTAACATTAATGAATTACAGTAAAGTTCGAAATGTTTCTATAATGACGGTGTAATATAAACTTAAAAAAAAAATAAATAAATAAACCTATTTTTAGCGATGATGTACATACATACATGATTTAAGCCGTACCCTGAATTACTTACACATGCGCTTGTACTTGTTACAAGTCTTAGTTTCTCCCCAGTTCTTACATAAAGGAAAGTAAGTTATGTTTCTTCTCAGACATTCGTGGCGCAAAGTGAAAGTGAAATCTGCGATGTTTTTTTTTTTTTTTTTACAACTAACGTGAACCTTTTCCGCAGGAAGTGTACCTATTATATAAGAGAGATAGTTGTGAGATTTTTAGCAATGCTTTAATTATTTATATGAGAATAACCATAGGTTATGCTGCCGCTAATTTTGTGCTCTAAGATTTACATACACGTTGCCTTAAAACTATGTTAGAAAATGAATGTTTTTCCTGGACAGCGAGACAAATACCTTAACAATAATAATTAAACGATAATTATTGATTTAATTGGAACCTAACAACTCTTTCAAAATTTATAATTACCATGTATTGGAAATTTTTTCCTTGGTAACGTTTTTAAACGATTTTTTTTTAATTATAGTATACATAATTAGTACGTGGTAGGTCTTATCGCATTTTAAAAATTTTTACACATTTTTAACATAAATCACAAGTTATATTTTGAATATTAAAAAAAAAAAGTGTGTATAGTTACTACAGGTATTTTAATCGAACAATACATATTTTTCCCGACTTACCTTAAAACGTTTTGTACAGCATAAATTTTATTCTTGTCTTTTTCTTTTATAATTTATCGCCTTATACGAGTTCATATATCTCGATTTTACATCTATATTATGGGGTTATAGCGTTATATTTTCTAGTTCTTAATGATAATGGTACAAACAATTTTAACTAAAATTTATTTTATATAATAATTGTATTTATTGACTAGAATAAAGGAAACTTAATTTAGCTCCGTATTTGAATACCTGTGTTGATGAAAATGTTTATTTATATAATGACATGCACTGTCGATCCTGTATGTTATAACAATCTTAATTTTTAATTTATAATCTCTTATACAAATGAACATTGGAACTTTTAAAATTTGTTTTCACAACTTTTTTACGAGTGACTGACCAAAAAAAAAAACGATTGAAGCTAATTGCGTATTATTAAAAAAAAATCATCGATAGTTCTATTTTATACATAAAGCAATGTTATTTTTTACTCACACTCGTACCAACCAATCGAATTAAAAATAGCACGTGTCCGCAGACTGTATACCTATATATCGCCAATTTAAATCAGTGTTAGTTTGATACACCTACAAATTACACTTGCATTATGTACTTATACGTTTAAAAACGATATTAAACGACTAATTTGTTGGGTAAAGTAAATCTCTATAGAGAACGACTATACCGGCGACATCAGAATTATATTTGACAGACGTAATGTATATAGGTTTAATGATGCAGCAGTGCAGTCTGCTCTGATGTGTTAATCCCTCCTATACATAATAAAAAAATGACGTACACACATATGCATACATTACGCAGTTACGTACGCTCACGCAACAGATTTATTAATCTGTACAATGACGCTCCCTGTCTATCTGTGACTCACCCACTCACGTCGAGAGAAGACTGGAGCTTCAAAAAGATCTCTTTTTCTTACGCTACTCACATTTGTTAAAGAAAAAAAAAAAAAGATATTTACGCACTACGCCCATACAACAATTGCAATTTTAAACGTACATTTAACGCGCACGGGGGAAAACGGCCGCCCACCTCTAACCAACACTTTTGTATACATATACACATGATATACTCACTTGGCCACCTGTAGATTTTTGTAACTACTTTCTAAATTTATTCTTGCCGGTTTCCCTTTTTTCTCGAGTCTGTAACACACCAACACCAAAGACACAAAATAATGAACAAATGCACTTTTTACACAGTACACTAAAAGCGTTGCGTCAATAAAAAGCGGCAAAACAATTCATCAACTACCTGATACAAGGACCGCGTCTGACTGACCGTCCCACGTTCGTTTCGTACTGACTCACTAACTTGCCAATCTTCCCATCCAATCCAAAGATCCGAATCGTATCGTACGAGCCCGAAAACTAACAGAGAGTGACTGGATAGTTGCTCAGTTGCGCGTTGCGCTCAATGCTGAAACTTCAGTGTGTGTACAACACCACCCATTGTGTTAATTGTGTATATATAAGAGAGAGGGGGAGAAAGGATAAGCCGCCGCATGTACATATGTATACCAACACACGTGCTCGCTTTACTATTGGTCACGCCGTTTTCCCACTTCTGTACTGCGTGTTATGAGTTTTTGTTTATTATTAGATCTTCAATAAGTGACAGACGTCACGGTAATCACAGGGAAAATTGTTGAATTGAAAGCTCAAATATACATATTGTTTTATTTCTTAATATTCTATTACTTGTTAAAAATATACATTAAATTGTGATTTGTAATATGCTTTTTTTTTGTACAAAAATATGTTCATGCTAATTAACAAAACACTGCAAAACTTTCAATACGCAACAAGTTATATAACGTTAATGTTTGTTTTTTCTTTTGTAAAAAAATAAAATCTTGTAACAACACTTAAATAACAATGAAACTCTCTAATTGATCACTTATATTTCACTTTGAATCCACGTTTCAATTTATCCGAACAAAGATTCTGATACTTCAATCCCTTGACACCAGCTCCAGGCTTCGAAGAGGATTCATTATCGCAATCATCTTCGTTGTTCTTCATCACTTCTTCTTTGTTGCTCAATCGCTGTTTTATCAAAGACATAAAGTCAATGGTCTCGTTTCTCTCTTTGCCCAATACACTAGCAGCTGTTCTACCGGGCAATACACTCCTGCTCAATTTCCTGCTACTTTGTTGCTTCTTCTTTAGTTTGGAATCACTCTGTTCCTTACTATTGCTAATGCTGCTTTCAGCTCCATTCTCTTGAAGCAGCTCTTGGCTAATGTCACTGCCCAGTGATGGTTCTTGCCTGACAATGTCGCTCTCGCTATCCAGTGACACTTCTTCGCTGCTCTGAGACGCAGAAACACCAGAATCTTCGCTCTCTTTTTTGACATTCTTCACTATGAATTCATTCGTCCATGGAATGCACAGACTTTCATCTGAAGTGTCCATAGAAAAGGTCTCTTTATTCACGACCCTACCACCATTGGCAAAGGCGGATATACCTTTGCGCCTCCACATCTTGGAGGTACTAGAAATGGCTTGCTTACACTTCCCATCGAAGCGAAACTCCTCGGGATCCACTGCCTCCGGCAGCTCGCCTTTCAAGTGGGCCAGATACCTCTTCAGGGACGTATAAAAGTGCAATTTGTCCTGCATCCTCGGAAAGTTGGCGCACCTGGCGCTACTGGAGGGCACGACCCAGAGCACAGTGTCTCCCACCCGGTGGGGCTGAAGGCCAAAGCGAAAGCTCGACTTGTCGTACTTGTCCGCGAACTCCTCGTAGATGCACTTGCCATTGAAGACAGCCACCTTGGGCTTGAACTTCTTGAGCTTGTCGTGCACAGCCGCGGCGCCCTTCTTCAGTTCCAATCTCGTGAGGTCCGCCGAGGACCTCGTCGCCCGAGCCACGATGTTCGTCAGGCCGATCCCGTACTCCAGCAGGTCCTTGTCGTTCTCGTAACTCACCGGCTTGGACACCAGCCCCGACTCACACAGCAGCTTGTAAAAGTGATTGCCCGGACCGGCGTAGTACCTTCCGGTGTAGGCTGCCATCAGGCTCGGGTTGATGCCTACGAACACGAGATCCAGCTTGTGGTCCAGGATGTCGCTGAGCGTGCTCTCCTTCTCCATGATCTCCTGCTCGGTGAGGCCTTCGAAGCGAGTGAACTTCTTTTTGGTCGGCTTGTTGTTATCCGGGCCCTCGGGCGACTTGGCGTGAGCCCGTTTTTGCAGCTTCTTCAGTGACAGCGACATCGTCGTCCTTCGAATGGGTTTGGCCAACAATGTGCACATCGACACCCACGACACTATTCGACACTACGTGATGCTTTTAATCTGTGCGCGAGGTTCGATCGTTTTTTTTTTTTATTACATGTACTGTACGCATGGAGATACACGTGCAAAGGGCGCGAAAAATTTATTGTAAACAATAACACGTGAAACCTAACCTACAGGACATGCGTGTCCGGTCGTCTGCTCGTGGTGTGGGAGGGGGGGGGGAATTTGAAATTTACACCAAAAACAAACATGTTACATGGATAAAAATATATTGTATTGATTGCAAAGTAATGCGACAGAGTTGAATAAATATGCATTTTATTTAAAACTATTTACATACAGAAACATAGCACAAGTCACATCTGGACACGTTCGTCATTTCGTTGGATCTCGAAATTAACATAGGTAGGTACTTGGAGTTATTTATACAAAAGAATCTTTTGTTTAAGAAAAAGAAAAAACGTACGGACTCACACCTCTAAATTATCGCTCTAGTTCCGGTTGTTACTATATCGTATCTCTTAATCATCGTAGTAAATACACTGTGGCCTCTTTTCGAAATATTTTTACACATTAATCGAGATTACACTCCATCAGACATTCATCTACAACAGAAGATTACTTAATGTTCGATTGATGACACATTTTTTTTTTTGTTTACGTCCATTGCCACATATTCCAATGATTACTGGTAATTTTTAATTGCTCATTGCAAAAAAAATACTATTTTTTCTGCACATTAAAATTTTTTATAAATAATATAGTTAACAACCAGAAAGCCAAGTACACAAGTGATTTCATACTTTTGAGGAATAAGACACTCAACACTCCATTTAAGTTTTAATAACTGATGGTTCACAGAAAACATTCAAACAACCAGTTTTTCTATGCAGTAGTTATAACTAAAATTTCGTTGAGGAGAAATTTAAAATTTACACATCTTATGTACATTTCATTCTCGTCAAGTACAAGATATTATCAGAAGAAACGAGTGGAAAATTTTGTTTGGTCATAATTTCGAAACAACGAGATATTCTTCATTCATCAAGCATCCATTTGAGATAAGGTCAGAAAATAATACTAAGGTAAGAGATAGTATTAACTTTAGTCAGTAATTCAAAAAAGTATGTAGTTTTATAAATTATGGTTTACCGAATAAATATTAATTTATCACTTATTTACAAATTTTTTTTTTTTTTTTTTTCGTAAACGCTCAACTGATTAACTGCCTAGTAATGTATAGATCATCGTAAAAAATGAAGGATCAACAATAACTTACTATAGGATACAAATGTTTTATCGTTTCTTACTTCTTAAGGCTAATTTTCGTAAAATTTTAAGTAATGCATTAACCGTTCTATCACAAGGTCATTGATAGAGCAGACTAGTCAACTTGGCACTAGATTAAGCATTGTTTTTCTAAATTTTGCTTGATTTTAGAGAATTTTTTTTTTTTAGCAAATTAGCAGTTTAATTGTAGTTATTCAGTATTCGTAGAACGTAGTGCAGAAACTTTAAATATTTTTGTGCTTTTTCTTCCTAAGGTTTTCAGTTAAAATTCTATTTTTATCTTTTATCAACACGCTGGAAAATCCTCAACTGGTAACATTATTATGAACTTATTCTTTGACTCAGTTACTCGAATAAAATTTACAATCTTTCAGTTCGTGATAAAATTAATTTCTTAAAAAATTAACTATGTTCAGTAATTATAATAGAGTGTAAGAGGAACTTAATCGATGAAACAAATGGTAAGTCACGATGTTGGTCGTAAGAAATGAAACAACCACTCGGCGGACGGATGAAAGTCGTTTTTTTACGTGTATTATCTACGCTTGTCTTAGGAAAGTTTAATCAATTAATGATTTTATTAGAAAAGTGCATTCCTAGAAAGATTTTTATAGCTAAAAATATTCTAAATCTAATTTCTCTGGTGTCTCGTACAGTTTTCCTTTTTTGAAATTCGTTTAAAAGTTTCTAAGAGTTATAGGTATAATATAGTTCAAAGGTAAGATTGAAATTTTTGTTTTGTTTATTAATCTATAGGTGTGCAAAAAGCGTTGTAAAACTCTTAACTAGGAAATTCGCGCATCTACGAGGCTATAAAATTATTTTCTTTCGATTACTCGTAATAAGGAAGCGTTTGTAATTCTTCGTAGTAATTTACTTTAATCGAAATGTAATTTTTTTCAAAGAGTTGAAATTTGGAAGAGAGGCTGGGATTATCGTTTGGTGATTGCACAAGCTCGTGTTAATTTGTTCAGTAATCATTACTATTATATTTTTCTTCAAGTAATCAGAATTATCGAGGAGTAAAGAGGTATAGAGTGTTAAAAAGGGTTTTATTTGAGACCTAAACTCTACGAGAAATGAGTGATTGTTAGTTTTACATGCTATTGTTTGTTCCTTTTTATCGTACAAAAAGTACACCTTCTTAAAGGTTAAAAGGCAATATGCAAAGTTAGTAAAGTAATATTTCATATTTACTGGTTATTTACAAGGAAAAACTAAATCACTAAAATTTTTTTCTTTCCACTGCTTTTATTATAATTACGTTTGTTTATCGATATTTTCTATTCATGTACGTATATAATTTATTTATTAACTTCTGCTCAATTAATTTAAATTAATATGTAATAACAATTTCAGTGTCATCACACTAAATAGCACACTAACGAATTACAAAAATTTTTTAAAATTATTTTTTCATTCACAATGAAAGTCAACGTAAAGTACTTACTTTACACGCACATAACATGATTCATGAAATCGGAGTAGAGAGATTCGTTGGATTTTCACAATTTCATGTTGAATTGATTTGTTTTATTTGCGCAATGTACAATTGTCAGGTTCACATCAACAGAATACGTATACGAATCTCAAACAATGTGAGCTTCATAGGCAAACAAGCTAACTCTTTGTTAAAATATAGTCTCACGTACATTTGCCAAGTCTTATTTTGAACATAGGATATCTTAGAGTGCTCGAGAAATTTTCGCTGATTTAAGGTACGTAAGCATCATTGTCGCACTTACGCTCCATTTTTTCGTTGAAAAAAAAAAAAAAAGGTATGGCAATAAAAGCTACACTCATCGGTCGAGTTTTTTTAAAGGCTTCACTCACATTTTGTAAAATAAATATATTTCGCTTAAACATACGTCAACAAGCTTATTTTCATTTTTCGATTCTCAATCTGTTATAAGTAACTTTTGCGATAGTTTACAATAACAAAGTTATCTTACAAGTTTTACGTTCAAACAACGGCAACAAAGACCTTAAAATTATTTTGTTTCATTAATATGCTACTGACTTTATTTAATGTTCAAAATAAACAGAAAATCCATACGCCATCCATCATCCTTAGGACGCACATATATAATATACATGTATCTTAAGGGGAGTGTGCGGGTCGAGAATAAAATTCGGAGATTCCACGTGTATTGGTCAAGTTTGAAATATTCTTGAGCGCGTAAATCATCACCTTCAATGGCAACAAAATATTGATGCAGAAATACTGGTGATTAATTAAAAACAACCGTGCGCACACGTAAAATGGGCGATATCGTTAAATTGACTTTAAAAAGTAAATAGCGCGCAAAAACATTTCAACGAGTTGTAGAGAAAATCGAATATTGGCATCGCTACAATATCTATGATAAAATCACGTAGTAACACATCCTTTCGAAGTTTTCGTTGGGGTACCCTATGATCACAATAAATCACCAAGTTCTCACTCGACTGTCCCAAAGGAACGTCCGAATTCGATACAAATGTATTTGTAGTTGTTTTTACTTTTTTCTGACACGTATTGTTGACAATAATACGTGATTCGTCGGGATATTTTATTCATCTATACAAATAACCTTTTTCGCCGATTCGTAAGTTTACTTATGATTAAAATTCTAAAACTAACAAACAAAAGATCAACTGGTTGTATTCATTCCAAAAACATTATACAAAAAATATTTGTACATCGAATCCGATATTTCTGCAGAGAGACGCGTGAATTTAAGTACATTGTACTCGTTCGTTACGTATACCTTGTCATTATTTAAATCTCTCAGGGGGCGAGTACTTTTGGTTAACTTTGCCAACCATAAAATCGCATCTTTTGCCTAAATTGTCGATCATTCAAAGTAAACACAATGCCGAGTACCTTTACTTCATTGCAGTAATCGAGAATACGAAATCGTCGAAACTACGTCGATCACTTTTTTTCTCTTCGTCTATATCTAGAAAAATCGGTTAATATGCCAACTACTTATTTGGAAACATCTCCAACGGCTCCCTCGTCGCGGTCATTAAGGTATGCAAAAATAACGTCTCACGTACAAAGATCATTCACCCGTTACAAACTTTAACAACTGCGCTCGCAACGTCCGATCTCCCGCTCGTACAATCGTTAAAAGTGCTAAAAAATAAAAGAAAATCTCTCTCAAAAAAAAAAAAAAAGAAAGAAAAACAAAATAAATAATCAATAGAGTCACCGGAGGTGGCAATTATATTAAAAGTCCCTCGAGCCGCACGCAACAAAAAAAAAAAAAAAAAAAAAAAACGGTTAAAAAAAGAATTCGCATCCCTCTCATTCTCTCCCTCTCTACAATAAACACGCAAACTTAATTCCTAATCACAGCCAAAGGATTAGTGGCGAGTATCGGACGCCGTCGTTTTTCTGGACTCGATGTGGCGCTCTGGACTGGGACTCGGCGAGGAGCTGGGCGAGCGCGACGAGGAGGACGAGGATGAGCTACCAGCGCGCATTTTCTCGAGTCGTTCCCGGCGCTTCTGCTCGACGAGCACCTGCTGCCTGTGCATCGGGCCGCGGATCAGCCTGAGCATCTGCTCGAGTTCGAAGGCCTCGTCCTTTAGCAAGTTGTAGCGCTCGACGTCGAATGCCAGTTTTTTCGCCTTCTTGTGCAAACCGATCAGCTGCTCCCGGCGGAACACCTCCGGCAGCATGTATTCCTGCAATTGGAGATCATTTTCAGGGTCTTGGTTGCACCACCAGAGTTGATCGTGTCGTGTAAAACGTGTATTTTTTTTATTTTATTTTTTATTTTTAGCGTGCATTCTATATGAAGTCTATAGCTGCGTTTAACTCTGAATGCATGAACTTTGTGGTGTTTAATCTCAACTATACCTACGCGCTCAAACGTTTTTGTAATGTTATGGACATGCATGTAATACATCGTTGTTTGACTGTAATATGTCGCATCACAAGATGCGGGTGGGTAATGCTGTGGTAACTTTTTACTCGACAGATATATACAAACTACGATTGTTTATGTGACTAATGTATACTTATGAAAACACTTATAAGCAATTACCTACTTTTTTTCGATAATGTATGTCGTTATTACCATTTATTGATTTCAACAGTATCTCGGCAATGTCATTCCGAGCTTCTTATTTTTTTGTTACAATTGCACAATACACAACACTTCAATAGCATAAAATCAAAGTATCACGCATTATTGTTATTATTTTTATCATCAATAATATTATTACATTAGATGCACTTTTTTCTGCTTGGCTGTAGCAATGAGTACCATCATTATAATTTATTTTTTTTGTTCTTGTTGTCATTGGCTGATGCAAATAGCGCAACCAATTATTGCATGAGAAGATTTTTACGTAATTATAATCATAATTAACTGATGCAAAATACGTTGACATGACAAGTATCGATTTGATTAATCCCTTTTTAAATAACATGCAATAGTCCTTACTCCTATATACACACGCACACACCCATATATATATAGGTATGCCAGCATAATTTACATACCAGCTTATTTTCATTATAATCTCCATTCTCATAGTTACCGCAAAAATATTCGGTTTAATAACCATTATTAGTTTCATGCATGGAAGTTTAAATTTTTGATAAGTCAAATACTATGCGTATTAATACGAAATGAGCTACATATACGTATTCATAACTTTATTTGATGGATTTTTTTTGGATTAGACATTTAGAGTCTCAAGAAATCTGTAACCTTCGTGATAACTAAATATATAATAATCGAGTTAGTATTTAAAAATCGATATATTTACACATGATTAACGGCCTTTCAAACTTAAAACAATTTGAAGCTAATCTTTGATAACACAAATGAGTCCAATGAGCCAAAGATTTGTTAAAATTTTAAACANTTTTTTTTTTTCAAAGCTTGTCTTTTTTGTGAGCTGTTTAGTCTTTTGTGCCAGAAAATTCTGAGCTAACTGCACGAGTTGGAAATATATCATATTAACAAAGAAAAAAAAGGATGAACAGAGGAAAAAAGATTAAAGCGATTTTTCATCGGAAAATGTCGCATCAGGGACGCGCATGAAATTCAATTCACCTGTTCCATCGGCTCCAACTCCATCCTGACTTCTTCGAGCTGCTGCATCACTTCTCGTTCCAGTTCGGCGTTTGCCTCCCGGGCGTTGAAAGACTCGTAAATTTGATTAACCATAGCCTGCAAATCTCGCATTTGCAGTATGTTCTCCTGAAAAAAAAAAAAAAAAAAAAAGTAGGGGAAATGTCGTAAAAATTTGCCCCCTATACTACCCACAGCTTCTTTCGTCTCTCTTATATACCTTTGTAGACTCGAAGTGCACCGGAGACGAGACGGGGTACACCTTGTCGTTGATGATTAAATTAAAGTCGTCCAGCAGCATTGTCTCTATCCTGTTGGTAGCTCCCAATTTGATACCAGCTGCAATAATCAATGGTAGATTTAATCATCGTAGTATTCCCATCGTCACCTTTCATTTTGCGCGGGTGCAGTGTCAATCGGAGCGAGAGCAATGTATCGGGGGACGTGCGCGGAAGAAAAACTGATTGAGCAGCAAAAACGGTATAAAGAAAGAAAAAGAAAAAAAAAATGTGAAAGGACTATAAAATGATCAGTGAGGGGGATGGGGTGGAAAATGAGCGCAAAGTAAAAGCATGGAATGTACAAGCAAAAGAGAGAGAAGCAGTACTCGAGTAGGTGGAAAATGTATTACTCGTCGAAGTGACGCTCGCCTCGACGACCGCCGGGTCCTCCTGTTTTATCAGATCGAGAAAGTCGCCGACCGTTTGACTGATCGGCTTCAGGGTGAGTATGCACTTGTCCGGCCTCGACGGCAGTGGTATCGTTATCCTCGGAAGCCCTCGGCAGTACTCCACGGTGACCTCTGGAAATGCAATTGCGCGCAAAATTAATGAAAAAAATCGATGAAAGGCATTTGTGTTGAATCAATTAATTATTGAGCTCCCTTATATATATACTATACTGATTGTCACGACTGAAAAATCAATCCAATTGATCGAATTACGTGCTTGTAAATTATAAATACAAATGGCTCCAATTTCACCCATTAATTGTCGCATTAAAAAATTAAAGCCATCATCATCTCACGATTACACAGATCAGATCCCAAACGAAGGACGGCCAGCGAAAGGATAACCCTCCCTTTATTTACGCATACACGTGCAACTGATTGATCCGTCCCCCGATCAAACGGGGGAGGACGGAAGTAAAAATATACCGACTCTGTCCTAGTTTCCCGACACCCACGGCATCGAGAGGAAATTATTCTCTGAGCATTCGAGGATCAGGATCGTACACGCGTTCTGTCTCTCGCGATGGTGTGTCCATGTGCATAATAGAAGACAGTAGTTGTGCGAGTGTCGGGTCGCAATGAAAAACGTGTCTCGCTCCTCCCCTGACGTATGATCTCTCATGTGTTGTTTCATTAAAATTTTAGGTACACACGGCCAGCGAGTTATTGCGTTACTGCTATAAAAGTCCGAGTTTCTGCTGTAAAGTACGTATACCTACATAGCTGCAATGTGGGGGGTTCGTGTATAACTTTTGTTCCTACATGTACCTATACTATAGCAGCGGCGCTGCTGCTGGAGTCACATTTTTGAGAGAGTCTATTTAGGGGTCGTAAAGTCGGTCTTCGCGCCTTGAAATTGTACGACCAATTGTACACACAACAATGGGTACAAAAGCGTGATGCAGTCAATAACTTTTTTACTCGCAATTTCGCAACGCATGGCGGTAAACGAGAAAAAAAAGAAGTTTTCAGACAATCGTAATTATTAGAGTAGATCGTGCTTCTTTTCTTTATTTTCGTTCGATCTTAATTGCAACTTTCCCCAGCCGGGTTTTTGTGCATTGTGCATACGAAAGTGAGTTCGTGCTATACGCATATATATATATACACGTGCTACCTCCTAATAGGAAAGGTGGCTGCTGCGCGCACATGGATCGAAAGCACTCGGGTTTTTCAAGACGTAAAAAGACCACGAATATGAAGTGAATAATACAGTGGCAGTGAAAATACGAAGCCATTAATCACCAACAGAGTACCCAATTCGAATAAATATCCAATGCCACCACGAAAGAGACCAATGTTGTTGGTAAATCGTATTATCTATTCAAAAATAGTTTTTATTTTTTTAATACTTAAAACTTTGGTAAATGTATATAATACACTGCTCTTACATTCTGCTTGTAAACCAGCTCGACCCAGACTCGCGTGAACAGCGCAAATGAAGCTGAAGCCGCTCACTCGTTTCATCCGGTGAAATAAGAAAAAAAAAAAAAAGCAAAAAGCTGAGAAGTAAAAAACCACACGGGGTTCTCGGGGGAACGAAATTAATGGAAAGAAAAGAGGATCAACGGTAAGAATGGACCTGATTTTCAGGCGAGCTCTTTGTTGTACTGTACTGCACTTGCAGGAAAGTCCTTCTCGAGGCGCGTTATTCGCACTATTGTTCTGCTGCGCATCATCCATCCCCAGCCCATGAAAAAGTGAATCAAAGACAGCGTTAAAAGCCCCCAATCCTCACCGCAAGTGTGTCCTTCACTGTGTGTGTGACGTACTGCAGGACTTGACTTTAATTTCTCCGATAAAAGTGTACGGCGTGGTGTATGAAAAATTAAATAACACACATCCCAGGAGCAAAACCAAGAGAGAGGGATGTGGCAGAGTATCAAACTCTCTACTGCAAAACGGATACCTCGCGTGCGATGTATTACCACGACCACTGTCCGCTTTTTTATTCGTAAATGTGTATACACACACGTCCACGGAATAACCTGGTTAAGCTCATCGCGGAGGCTGAAAGTAAAGAAGAGGGAGAGAGGCCTATCAGAGTGTGGAGAGCGTGTAGGTAGGTACCTACGAGTCGCGAAAATGTGGCGAAAACACATAGGCGTAGCTGGAGGAGTAGGACCATCATGCCGTGGAGAGGAGCTGTTAAGCAGGACGGAACGCCGGCGAGAGATAATCCGTGCGTGGCCTCTCTCTCTCTCTCTCTCTCTCTATTTTAATAAAGCGATATTATGTAGTGCGCATTAAAAGGAAAAAAAAGTAGTATAAACGGGCCAGCGTCGAATCCGCCTTCGGATCGCTGATTTATGGTAAATACAGTGGAATACTTTACGCGACTGCCAAGGAAGGAAGCCATCACGCGTAGGTGTTATACATGTATGCCTATGCGTAAAAATTACCGAGTTTGTTGATTTTTGCTACTTTTTCTTGCAAGCTCCGTTTCAGCGCCGGAAAAGAGCTGTAAGCTACGCGTGTAGCTATACAGGAGAGGAGAGTCGTTACAATTTCATCCGGCGAGTCTTGGCAAGGAGCTTGCGCTTGATGGTCCATGTGGGTCGCACGAAGTCGAGGCAGATAATGATGTACTTGGCACTGCCGAATCTCGGGGTCTGGAAATTCGTGATCCTGTGCTTCCGGCGGAAATTAGATCCGAGGATTTCTAAGGAGTTGGTTGTGGGTTTTTTGCAGTGGTGGTTGACGGTGGCAGTTTTAAGTAACTACAAAAAGTTGGGATTCGTTGGAGCGCAATGATCCACTCGCGTGGCTAATTCGAGGATGAGAATAAATCCAATAAAAATCATGGATGGAAAGTGCGATGTTTTTTTTTTCATTTAAAATCAAACCTCGTAAATTTTCTCTCTCTCTCTTTGTTTCTCAATTCGTGGTGACGAGCTGGGTGTAAAAAGTTCTCAATCGTGGTGACTTTTTCTGTTTTTTTCGTCTTCCCGACCAGACAGAAAAATAACGAGCTCGCTTCGGTGGAATTGTGCGAGCCATATTTTGCAAGTCGACGCGGACGATTTAACACGCGTGGATAACGAAAGCTCCCCCCCCCCCCCCGTCGAGTTTAATTCGTTTTCTGCAGAAAAATGGTTGCAGGCAATTTTCACGATTTCCCGAGGAGAAATAATTTAAAAATGTTCCTGCTCGAGTGGGTAAAGTGAGACCTAAAAATATCATCAAAGTTCGCGCAAACTCGAGTATGGGGTTTCGCTTTATTGCACCCCCCAAATTTTACCTGAAACTTTGTTTATCGGTCTTTTAACATATTCCACGGAGTGTTTGCCAGGATATTAAATTTCACCTGGATCCCAGGTCTGCGGTGCACCACCCCTAAAACTTACTTCTCTTTTTGTACTAAAAAAAACCAATTATTTCTCGACACCTTCCTTCACTTACCAACTAGTGAATAAATAAAATCCAACCGCGTTGACTTTAAAATTGAAGCGGCAGCAGCAATTGCAGTAGCACTAGTTAATTAAACCGCTCGATTTTTCACGGCGTAACAAACCGTAACAAACGCGGACTGTGAATAAATGCCGCTCGAAACTTTCAATGCCACAATTAGCGCGAGCGGACAAACGCGTTCGTACACGTATATGCCTACGTTACGCGCGGCTCTCCATCCAATTGGTGAAAATTGAAAATATCACCGAAACAGAAGACAATACGGGCATAGAAATTGAGTTCTCCGCTGGTAATTAAATATATGGACACACGCTGAAGCGCCCTTATCAGTACGTGAGTTGTAGCTATGCTTCGTGTGACATTTTACCTTATCAATAACTTTTTTTTTTCCATGGAAATTAGTCTGTGATTTTACAATTGGCTAAACCCTTGACTATTCTCACTCCTCCCTTCATCCATTTAGAAATGTCATTTGGCCAAATGGACTTTTTGATCGAAAAAGCTTTTCCGTCCAAAAGATCAAAAGGCTGCGATGAAAATTAGAAAAATCCCACAACACGATGATTCATATGTATGCCACTTCAAAGACTCAATACCGAATCTACGGAGAGGAAAAATCCCGCAAACTCGATCCCCTCCTTCCCCAGCCCAATATACCGCGCTCCTCTTTCTCGGTACGCAGCCTCCACTAAAAAAAAAAGAAAAAAAAAGAAAAAAAACACGCAGCACAAGTGAGTGCAAAGGAGGGAAATTCTCTCCTCCTCTTCCTCCTTCGGGCTTTGCCGCCAGCTCTCTTCTCCGGCTCGGCGAAAACGCTCAGCTGCAACTAGTCCGACGTAAGATCTCGTTCGTTCAATTGTCGAGTGAAGTTGTTCCCGAGCTTCCTTTAATTTCATCATCTCGAGGATACGGAACCACAAAATACCAACGTGATTCACCAGTACTGATACAGTGCTAACACCACATACATCCAGCTGACGTGGTATTTCATTAAAGTGCATCGCGTCGGTCCTCCGTGAGTTTGGCCCGGGGACTACAAGTACATAAGCAATATAATACGTGCTGTAGCAACGAGGTACACACCTAAAAGGAAGGGCTGTACCTTAATGAGGTACAGTTGGCCCGGGGACAATGTAGCGGTGAGCAGCCAGCCGAGGAAAATGAAGGGTGTGTAGCTAGGAGCGAAGGGTCGAGCGCACCCTCGGATGAGAGCCAAAGAGGTGCCGCTGTCGTTTTACGTTTGTTTTCTCTTGAGACTCTGCCGGTGCGAGAGGGTAAGTGATGCGCTTTGGAATAATTTACTTTGCTCCGTGTTTGTCATTCCGAGTGGGTGACTTTTACGTACTGATTAGGTACTTGTGATATCCAGAGTTCATTTGATTTCTAAATAATTAACCCTTCTTGTAAAAATTATTTTCATGAGCCGAACACATTAAAAAACATACGAATTCACATGTACTTTTGAGATTTCATCTCGAGATTGGGTCATGAACAATTTAAGGTTGTGATCACTGTTTGTTTACAGAAATTAATTGATTTGTCACACTGGCGAAGATTATCTGTGAAATCTTATCGGTCGTGTCACAATAAAAGAGATTACTATGTGTACCTGTGAATTAAAGACCGCTCACCCACTCATTATTTATTTTTTATTCATTTTTGTGGATCTCAGCCGAAGCTTTGATCCTTTCTCGAAAAACTAAACGTAAGGAACTACTATTCCATCATATATGTTGCATAAATGCATGACCGGGCCCTTTATAAGCTGAACTTTTTTTTTCGAGTGTAGAAAATTTTGCCATCTAGCGAATGGAATATGAACCAAAGCAACCGAATCAGGCGCGAAAATTTAAATCCTCATGGTGGTTGTCTTACGGTGTAACTTGTACAAATCTCAAAATTCAATGCAAAGATTTCACGAATTATTTTGAGTAAAGTTTTTGCATGAACGTCAAAGTCATCAATAAATGATCATGTAAGTGATTTAGCGAGAAAAATAATCACAATGACACTCTAACAGAAATTTTTATTAAAATAATTTAATTTCCAACTATTATCATTCGCCAAGTATGGTGTTAAAATAATAAAAAAAATTTTTTTTTTTCATGGATCGAATTAAAAATGTTTTTCAAAGAAATCTATTAGAGGAAATACCTACACATTGTAAGTCACCTTGTCCTTCATTACTGATAGCAGTTTTCACTTCTTTTTTTAGTACAATAAAAATTTACAACCCAAAGTATCGATCGTCAACTTGATGAAACCAATTGATATTAATAGCAACTTCTCTTAGCAAAATAAAGACTCCCTCCAATGACTGTCCGCAGGTGACCCCCCGAATCTGAAACTGCAGAAAAATGGGCGGAGTCCAGAGCGGAACGCACAACTTGGGCGACGCGCTGTGGGTCCAAGAGAGACAGAAGCAAAAGGGCTATCGGTAAGTGAATCCAAAAACACATACCTATTATCAAAGCAGACAGATAAGCACAGTATAAATGTCACAGAGTGCTTGCAACGTGTCTACGGTCGTACAAACGAAACAAATTTATCGCCAATACCTCCGTACCATTTCACATTACAGCTCTCGCTTCTATTGTTGTACACACACACGCACACTATTCAACTCTCGACAGAGCGAGCGGCACGAGAGAACCGAGAGCTATACTCTCGTGCATACCCGATCGATTAATTGCAATTTCGCAATATACCGTATCGCCATCATTAGTAGCGCGCATTTGTCATACCTCCTGCACAGTTTGCTGCTTTGTAGTTTGTGTTTCACCAATAATAACATTGAGGCCTGGACGAAAAGGTTCGGATATAGTAGAATGGGCACGCTTCGATAGGGCCATAATTAAGGGTGGTCTCGTGAAAGTACTTCTTATATGCGTGTCAAGGGTTGGATTTTTTGGTTGATGAGGGTATATTTGTATGCTGATTACGAAGTTATAAATATTGTTGGAGTGGTTGTTTTTGTTTCAGCGTGTGACTTACTTGTGTCGTTTCTTAATAGCAGTAGCCGGAAAAAGATCGCAATAAGAGCCATTGCCTGAGATATAGTGCAAAAGTTAATTGCAAACGTCGAGATGTCGATATTGTATGTACGGGAATAGGGTACAATTTTAAATTTTCACGAAAAACCAGATGGTCACTTGTGTTAAGGAGGAGTATACGCTCAAACAGATGACGATGGTGTCGTTGTAGTCGTGGAAGGTTGTATATTTTTTAATGATTCGAGCACTAGAAATTTGTCAATTTTCCGCTTCGTGAATACTCTAATTGATTAAAAAAAAAACAAAAAAAAACTAATTATTTCGAGATAAAGCCTAGAGTTTAAGAGCTGTAGAACAAGAAGAAAAAAACTTAATTACGAGCTTCAAACGAAATGAAAGTTACAAATGGTGCGAATTTTCTCTTTGCCGGGCAGCGGTGATGCGTTTTCCTTAACTAACTCGGGTGATCGATAGAAGACAGGGAAAAAAAAGTTCAAAAGTAACACGAGCAATGAGAGCCAATGAATAACCACAGAAATCGGCGATAAAAGTTTTCTCCCCACACCCATGATTTCCATGCCAAATCAACACTTTGGACGATAGTTTTTCTCTCACTCAGTCGCAAAAATCAAACCAATAAAAAATGAAAATCACAAGCAGGTAACTGTACCTCGGTTAAAATAAAATCGGGCGCTCGCATCCTTATTGCGAACGTGGGGTCTTTACAGCGGCCAATCTATGATGTAAATCGTAAAATGCCGAATCTGCCCAAGCCAGCGTATCAAACGGATCTTCCATCACAGGCAATAAATCACCGGAGGCGAGAGAGATTGTACCGCGCACGCATGGGAGATTAGGTGTGCGGTGCGCCTATTATTGCAACTCCTCGTAAGATCCCAAAGAGAGGAAGGGGGAAAAAAAAGCGCGAGGCATCGACTGCTGGCTGCACTTGAGCGTAATTGGCACACTGCTCTTAAAATGGGTACTCGCGGGGTAATGGTGGGTGGGAGGTGGCGTTTTTATAGGTGCTTATTAGGATCCGCAGTCGTGGTCTAATTGTTTCACTCGCGAGACTATTAGGAATATACCGAGCCCGTATAATAACATGAGCGTGAGCTACGCGAGTGCGTATATGTGTGTGTGTATACAGGCAGGGCACATATGTATAGGCGACGTAGGTACATAAAGATAAAGAGGCTTGCAGAAGGTGTGCTTGTGTATACGTAGGCGAGTGAATTTAGACGACGCATGTGATACTTTTTTTATATCCTTCTTACGTTATTATCTTGGATGAAGGATCGGCTTATTTGACTATTATTTTAAGGATTAAATTTTTTTCGTTTACCCAATACCCTTTACCGATTTTTTTGGAACATAAAATAACAAATTTTCATCCGTGATGTCCTCCAACGAGTAGTAATGGAGTATTCGGTGGGCTCTTTGATAATTTTTCTAATTTTTTCAATAAATCACGTATTAATAAAATTATGGAGTATTTAACAAAAACCTGTTCAAAGAGCAGCATTTTTTTTTACAGTACTGGAGTACATTTAAAAATTAATAATACTTACTCAACAATAAAAATTCATCGTATTTAAACAAACTCTTTTGAAAAATATAATATTGGTAAGTTAAGAAAAAAAAGAGAGAGAGAGATAGAGCTAAACATTAATCTACTTAGTTTGGTACACCTGCTGCCTTTGGTCTGTTTCAAATTGTTATAACTACACCTCACGCGTCGATAACTACCAACAACACAAACACACGTCTATACATAGAACAGATCCGTGATTACAAAGCGTGAAACGTATAGTATAAGCCCATTATATACAGCCATGCGCGAGCATCACCTATTTCCCACGAAAATAAACGACCAAAAGGTACCGAATATACTATATACGATACGTAAATACGTGTTTAGATCAATTGGGCCCTTGTCAGCGGAAATTGTAATATCACAGTCGTGCAAACAAGTATATAGTATTTTGGATTTACCCCCCGTAAGGGATAATTTATTACTCGATTCGGCCAAGTTCCAGTTAATTATCGGCAAAAATCGGTAATCTAATCTTCGAGGAGAGTTTACAGCAGCAGGACGTGGAAGTTTCACGCAACTGGATCAGCCAACCTCACGTAAACGTATTTCGATGGAGATCGTGAGTTTACGGTAACGCTATATAATAAATTTATACCCTAATCCCACTACTACTTACTCTAATGCATGATGATAAAGTACAGGCTCTATAGATTTGGAATAAATTTTCACGCATAAACAAACGGCACAAAAGTCGATTATTGTTTCCTCGATCGACATGTCATGGATATGTATGACATGTATTTCGTAGATATTGGGAAAATAAGTGCAAAATACATTGTGAAGGACCGATCCCTCTTTTACCACTCCCTGCATAGTATATATTGTACTAACTGCTTCTCATCTTCTCCTCCTCGTCTAACAAATCAAATTTATCCATATGTATACATAAAGAGCGCACGGAGCCGGGGTATGAATACGTAAACAAAGCCCCTCGGCCGAGTGTCGCGGCGTGAATCATAATGGAGCAATGCCCCTTTCGGCTGTGTCCGTGTGTGAGTTTTATACTCACAGGACCATCAGCACAAGAGAGATTGTCTAGAGCCCGAAGCTGTTGGCAAATTTCATCCCGTGTATTAGAGCTTACGGTGGGAGTTCATGAGCGTGTATTTATTTTACTTGTACCATCATTTTCACCTCGAGGCCATGACGCTATTCATGAAGTTTTTTTTTCCAGAAACAATAAGTATAAAATTAAATTCCCACACCAGTATACTTGTAACATTTCAGTTTCGCGCAACAACGCGTTTTACGATGAAGAAGCGTGTCCATTAAAATCGATAGCACAGTCTGTACATAACAATAATAATAGTAATAACCGAATCCGACACTGATTCGAAAAATCGGATTTTACGTCGACTTATCGATCTCGAAATAAGATAAACTCGTAGAGTCCGTCGTTGCACCAAAGCTCGTTATATCTCGCAATTATTTTTATTTTTCAGTTTGACACAGACGCAGCATCCGCGAATGATTCATCCTATACGTCGCAACTCGATTTCGAAAGCAAAAAGCTGCATGAGCGCAAACGTCAATCCACGCACGCGTAATGTATACATATAGTTACAGCTCGTGCGCGGGAGTTTGTCGTGGAAAAATGAATATATGTATATACGTACACACGTATTACGTGGCGGGCGCACAGGATGTCCGTCCGGTGTACTTTGTTCCTCTCCCTTCTCTTTGACGGCACGGTGTTAAAAGGAAAAAAAAAATTTATATACGTATAATTTTGTGCGCTTGGGGACGCTCAAATTGTCCCGTGCGTGCATTTTTTCGTCCTCGCATACCTACAGCTATAAAAAGTAAAAAGCACCTCTAAAATATTCAAAGCAGTGGCACGTATTCTCTTTCCTTGCTCTGCGACATTGGTGACGGAATTTTCGGAAAATGCATCATCTACTTTAACGAATTTCACACCTCGGCTGCTTTAACCGGATTTCGGGTACGCGTTTACCGAATCGCGCTCACCTTTTTATCTGTATTCAAACAATCATCCGTAGATCCTTCAACAGTGGATAAAACGGGTAAAGGTTTGCGTGTGTATCCAGGAGGCACAATGAAAAATAACACCGGATCAGAAAAAAATCCGTCCAACAACGTGCCCCCAACAGCAAAAACGTCAACAGTAGCAGTGTAGTAGCAGGAAAACAAAATTTCCTCTCTCGCTCGATGCTGTAGCAGCACGTACCCCAACCATCAATATAATCCGTCCGGAAAATCTGACACGTCGCGGGAAACTGCAAAAACGAGGAGACTCGATGAACTCACAACAAAATTATACCCTCCTACAGATACAATGTACACTACCACGTGTACATCATATGGGGGAATTTCAACGTGGGCGCGCGGGATACGCTAAAGTTGACACCTTTATCAGAGCTCGCTGTTATTTTTATGAATTGTTTGTGTGAAAAATTTATGAAAATTTATGTTAAAAAAAAAAAAAGATTAACTCGTCATTGTTTGTTGTTCCAAAGAAATCGATACTTCACCCTTTAGGTCACGAGATTTTTCACGAAAAAAAGTACCTACTGGTCGACGAATCTTGGGAAGCAAAAAAAAAAATTGAACGAATGGATCGCCCGAATACTCGAGCCAATATGCTGTACTTTAAAGAATCGGGAAGTGAAAAAAAAAAAATACTCGAACATCCATGCACGCAAGCCCACAGCAAGCAATTTTATGAAAAGGGAGAAAAGTAGAGGAGGAGGTGGACGAACACAAAAGAGGTGCACAAAGACCACTGCCGCAGGTTACATGGTGCTATAGGGTATAATATAATATAACGCACACGCATCCGACGTATAATACAAGGCAATTACAACGAGAGAGTGGAAAAGCGCCCAAGTCCCTTCCGGTTTCGGTTCCTCTCTCTCTCTCTCTCCTCCCACAGTACACCGTGTAATATGTACATACAAACGCATACCAATCCGCCCATTGTAACAGCTATCGTCCCGTTTGACCGACGCTGTATCGAAAGTGTACGTGTGTATACGGTGTACCCACACAAATGGCGTGTCAAAAGCGCGAATTTCAGTCTGTCGCGCGCGCTAGTTGTTGTCGTACTTGCGTGTTTTTCGCGTCGTCTCCACAGTTGTGTGTTATTAAAGCGTAGCGTCGCCGTCGACGAGTGGTGTTTCAGTGCTTGTACTTGAATGTAATGCGTGTGTAGGTACTTACTCGGGCAGGAGTGAGTGGACATGTTTTCCGTCAAAATCGTCTACTGTCAGTTCACGGTGGAGTACGCTCAGGAGGAGGAGGAGGGCGATGGTGACAGCGACGTTGGCAGGTAAACAAGAGCTCGAAAGTTTGGGGACAGGTGCACGCGAGTGCACGAGGGGGGGGTGATGTTGAAGGGGTTGTAAAACTTTTGGGGGCCTGTTGCTAGCGTGTAAGAGATTTTACGAAAAATCACCCGTTGCGTGGGTCCGGAGAAAAATAAACAGTTTGTTTTTTGTGCACGCCAAGTTTGTCAATAAAAATGACGTGTCACGTGTACAAAAACGCGCTAATACCAAAATTCTTACTTTGTCGTTTTTTTTTTTTTTATCATGCAACGAACGATAATAATTTATCGTTTTGTTTCGTAAAATAATTTGTCTGATCAGCGTGTCTACTAGCTCAGCCGGATGCTCGATAATTGTAGTCTTTAGATTCTAAATTATAGTTTCTTGGGCTGTACATCCCAGATGAGTAAGAGGATCCACTAAGGAGCAAATACGAAATGTCCATAACAAGAAGAATCATCCGACTGACCGACTGGGCTTTTTCTCGCTCACAATTATTACGTTCACGTACGAGTTAAATGAAAAGCGTGTACTTGATATAAATGCAGGTATACAACATATCTACGCTCCACATACCATCACCGTCCGATGTACGATATACCTACATCCCATGGGCTAACTTGATAATTAAAAACGAGGAACACGCCTCCTCCCCAACCCAAGCGTGATCCTTCTATACATCTACATGTGTAATCACATGGCTAAATTTACAAACGAGTTTTTTCTAACAACACGCTTACATCGTCAGTATTTACCCAAGGCTTCGGCACAATTGGGTGAGGCTTTCGAATCGAGTGATTGAGATTGATCTCCCAGTGCGTTAATCCCCCAGCGATTAGATTCTCTGCCGTAGAAATATATTTATACAGACGATTGCCCGATAAATCGGGTATGAAAACACAAAGTTCATTGGGTTTGTTGTATTTAACTTTGGAGAATCACAATTCGCGGAAGTTTCAACGAGTACTACGTCCACCAGAAAAAAAGCTCGATCAATGCGACCAATAAATATTTAAATTTGCAAGTATTTTCCGAATTAATTATTGTGCTGTACTATTAAACATACACTCTGCTTGTACTATTAAGCTCGTTGAAGCATCTGTGTCAAACTATTTTCATGCATTTTTAAAGTCAAGCGAACCAATTATTTTTAATACGATTTCGCGTCGTGGTTATATGTGTTCGTTTTTCATTTGAGGAAAGAAAATGAGACAAGCACGTAGTTGAGTAAAGTTACAAAAGCAAACGTCAAAAATCCTCCTCATCAGGAGCTAAGGACCCTCATTGAAAAGGCACTCGCGTGACGCTTGGGTATCCTTATCTTGATTTCGGTGGATGCTTAGCTATTCAATTTGCGGGCAATTTCGTGGATTCTCCGTGGAGGATTTTAGTTTACGTAACTTTTCAGCTCGTTTTGTTTGTACGAGGCAAAAAAACCAGCATTATATACACACACAAATATACAAGTCATTTCTACACTCTGAGAATTTTTTCCACTATCCTCTACACCGAAAAATTTTTTATGCACGTTAGGACTCCTTTTTTGCATCGTTTTCTACGTTTACGTGTGATTTTTTTTTATTTTTATTTTCGTTAATCCACCTGTTTCCTGTATAAATATAATAATACCAAAGAGCTGGTGCCTCGAATTTCCATTTTCCGCGTCTTTTTTCGATGCCCCGGAGCACTTTTTAATATTACATTAGCTGCGGTGATGGCATAGTAAAAACCTATTTCATCGCATCTATGTGAGTTTTCGCATGCACGAAAGCACGCACAGTATTGATTTTTACGCTGAAAGTATTTTTCTTTTTTCTTTTTTTTTTTTTTTTCTAGCTGGATGTAAATTTTTACAAAAAGCAAGGTACATAAATACATAAAGTTCGCGTGATGCACCGTCACATCGAGCGTGACATGTTCAGAGCACGGCTTTTTCGAGGTAGTTTTCCCTCGCACAAAGGCGCAACTTCACTTGTTATTGTTTTCATTTGTTTCAAGTACGTTTGGTCAACGCCGAAAACGAATGGTTGAAAATTTATATAAAATATCTAAAATTAATCAAACATTTTGGCTGATTCAAAATAAATTCAAAAATAAAAGTATGTAAGTTGCCTTTCACTAACTAACGAGTACCTCGCACATGCGCAAAAGAAACACATAGTCACATATGTACATGTGTAGTAAGCCGCGTTGCGAGTTTTCATTATGATGCAGAGCAAATATTATTTTAGATAAAACGCGCGCCAGACCCAGTTTCTCACTTAATACTCATGCGTGCTCTGA